GAGGAAGTTTTAGTGAATTTTGATGAGGAACAAGGGGAAGAGATGATGAAATGAAGAGGTTTTTTTCAACATGAGAATATTATCAAGGAAAAACCGTTAGCATTTTTTTAAAAAGAAATCGGAATATCTTTTTATATCCAAGCATGGGGAATCTAGTAAAACCACTTTAGAAAATCAAAAGGAAGGGGAAAAAATCCCGAAGTTGAGATTGAAATCTATTATCTAGTTACTACACAGAGAAAACCTTAGGATCATATATAATTTAAATATCTAAAGATAATCAACTCCTCACTTGGACACTAACAAAACAAAGCAATGAAGAATGCAAACTCAGAAAAAAAAACCTAGAAAATTCTTAGAAATCCTCTCAATTGGGGATGCAAAACAATGTAAAATAATGAATTTGCAAGAAATGCCGTAAGGAAACATGATAAATTGAGAGGAAGTAATACGAGTGAGTGAATGAAGCAACCAACTGAAAAGCAGAGAGAAAGAAAACCCAAAAAAAGGTGAATTATATAGAAGCAAGAAACAAGAAGGAGAAAAAGAAACTCACCCCTATGACTATAAGTTTGAAAGTAAAGGGAAGAGTAGAGGCTACAGAAGCAAGGAAGAAGATGCGTAGAGGCTATTGATGAAGATAATTGAGGAGGTATGCCATTCTAGAGACTGAAAATTTATGGGTCCCAAGAATTTAGGTTGAATAAAGTTGAACATTACCATCAAATGGTCGAAAGGTGGTACATGCTATGTTTTTTATAGTTGATTTTTTTTTTGCATCATTTTATAGTATAGGATATTTCGAGATCCTCAAAAAATAACTTGTAGTTAAATCTGCACCTTTATCCTAGATATATTAATACACACAAATATATGCTACATATTTGAAGTTGAATATATAGCACAAGACTTTAGATTAGGCATAATTTGTGACCTATCTAATGAGTATTTTAGTTGAGAAAATGATTATAATATTAAATTGTGATATTTCAATTTTAGACAGGCGAGAGTAATTGTCAGAGATAAAATCATTTATTTAATAAGAAATTACGTACATAAATATAGGTATACTCAAAGTCTCAAATATAGTTAGAGAGGTACATCAAACCCATCAACTTATCTTGGAGATTATTACAAATCAGACTATATAATTCCTAACTAACAACAGTATAGGAATTAAATGATTATTTACTACTTTATACAAACTTCCTATCATCTCTCCTTCACCTACCTAATGCTCACTTCTTTCTATTCTCTCTCTCTCTCTAATGAAACTCTTTTACCCCTTATTTGGATGGGAAGAAAATATGAAAGGAAAGAAAACTATAAGAGAAAACAGGGAGGAAAACAATTTTTTCTCTTGTTTGGATGATGAAGGAAAAGTGAGAGGAAAGAAAAGTGAAGAGAAAAATAAAGCATGAGACCCACTACATTTTCTCCCCATCTTTTCTCTTCATAAGTGGAGAGATTTTGAGAAGAAATTCTTGGTTCCACATCTGCGCTCACCTCTCTCCCCCTGACAAAGCCCTACATCATGGTCATACCTTCATTCTAGTTCACTTACGACGCAATGGGACCACAAGCTTTCCAGTGATCTAATCTCCACCTTCGAATTTCTTCTTCTTCTTTTCTTGACCATGAGGGTGCAAATTCATTGCCGAAACCAGGAAACCAAGAGTACAGTAGCAAAAGCACAAGTATAAACCAACAGCAAACAAAATAACGCATGAAGAACAAATTTAAGAAAGCATTAGCCAATTCCTTCAAGACTTTGGGCTCCGTTTCAAACCTCCACAATTTGAGGACTTGTATATGCCACTTGATTTAATATGAAATTTCTGTTACGCTATTTTTTTGTTATTTTTTTATTCCTTTTCATTTGGTGTTTATTAGTTCAAAACAATCCTTTCATTTATGTGCTCTAGTTGGTTTTTAATATGGAACAATCTCTGAATCAAAAACGGAAAAAAAAAAAGGAAAAATCTCTTATTGCCTTTGATTTTATTTTTAAAATTTTAAATAGAAAATTATCCATTTTGATTTTTTAGCTATAATATTTTATGTTAAAAAACTATCAATTTTGATATTTAAGTAGAAAAATAAAAGAAATATAATTTTTGGCCAAATAGTTTTATTTCAAAATATTATGATGGATTTTAATATGATTTTTTTTCTTTAGTGTATTTTAATGGAACAATGACATAATATATCCAAATATAAGGGTATTATTCTCATTTTGGTTTTTGCCTATTTTCTTTCCTCTATCCATCCAAACACAAGAAGTGATAATATTATCTTTCCAGTTTTCTCTCCTCTCCATTTTCTCTCCTGTTATTTTCTTTCCTCTCAATTTTTCTTTCCATCCAAATAGAGCATTCATCTTCTTTAACGTGTTATTAATTATATGAATGGTTTCCTTATGAAAGGTTATTTTTATTCTTTTGTAGATTTCATTTTGGAAGAAAAAAAAAAAAACATCATAAATAGACAAATGATAAAAAAATTTACCTTGCCATTGTTATTAATTGGGCTAATTATCTTGAAAGCCCTAAATTGATGCCCTTGGATGACTATTGGCTATTGGATATGAAATTGGACACTTGGGTGAAAAAGATTGTGGAAAAAATGGTTGAATGGTCTCAAGTGTCCAACTTCTACTTTATGAAAGAAAAAAAAAAAAAGTTATGCACGTTAAAAGTTGTTTGGAATGTTATCATGTGACATGCACTGTGATGGATGGCAAGTATGTTCTAACACATGGTACAAAATGTGATAGCTATGGTGGATACTGTATCACATGATAGTTTCTCGTATATTTGAAAACCGAGGGAGTATTCAGATTTGGATACTAAGATTCGATGATTTTGAGAGACCCACCTTCAAACGTATGTATGGTTCTGCATATGTTAAATGAAAAGTTACGTGTCTAGTGGACTCATATTTAAATTGTTGGTATCTGGTCTAAAATTGAAGTCACTTATTAGGCCGATTTAGTAATTGGAAAAATAATTTCCAACCCATTTTGATATTATCTTTCGCTTTTCAAAGTTTTCAAGCCTATGTTTGTTTGTTTTTCTTTTTTTCAATGGAAGGTTAAGTTTTTATTCAGACTTTCGGTACAAATATTCTCCATCCGTTTCATTTTGTTACATGTTTTTTCGGCGTGATTTCATTTTTTGTAATATAAGATGTTTTGCAAAACAACAATGATGCATTGCTAAATCTTATTCTAAGATACCCTTATCTCTCTGTCTCTTTAAATGCTTACATAGTCAATCTTTTGTGTTAAACGAAGGGATTTTCAAAAGTTTATTTGCTCCTTTTCGGAAAAAGAAAATAAACTTTTAAAATGCATTCAATTATTTTAATTATTCTTGGCAATTTATTTAAAAACATCTCTAAAAATATAACAAAGAATGTATATAATTATGACAAGGAATTTAACCATAGCTATGATGAGGGAGAAATTCTTGAATGGAAGATATTGTAGAAGTTCGTCATATTTTAAGGCCCTCCGGTTCCATTTATAAGAAATATTTTAAAAAATTTATTTGATCTTATTTATAAGTTACAATATAACTTTTCAAGTTATATTTGAAAAATATTTTCAAAATTATTCTTTATGAAAGAAAAAAATTAACATGAGTTTACTTTTTAGATTTATTATATAAGGATATATTTAAAATTTTACACGCATATATTTCTTTTATCTTTTTAAAATTAATATTTATAAGATTAATAAAAATAGCTTATAAAAAAATCCGATGCGTGATAAGTGAGGGGGATATCGCTAAAAAGAACAGGAGGCAGTGTGGAAGTTTGTCATGTTTGATCAAATGCATAGTTTGATCGATGTCAAGACAGAAGAAACGAGGTATCCGAGCCCAAATACCTAACATAGACCGAAGACCAATCCATAATACTCTTTAGGCCATTGTGTTATTCCTCTCATTTGCACGTTGTATCTGTTAATTCCTCCTCCTTCTTGGGTGTTTTTGTTTTTTGTTTTTAAATAACCCAGCTGTTTGGGGGAGGGGTGTCTCTATCCTTTTTTCTCCCCTCCATTTCCCTCTTTTTACCTCTCATCACCAGTAGATTAAAGTTTTCCAACGGTTCAGATTTAATTTTTGATAAATTTATTATTATATTATTTATAAAATGTATAAATAAAATATTATAGTTTTAAATTATTTATATTAAAATTTAATAACTCAAATTTGTTTACATATTTCTGTATAATTAAAATAATAATTTTGCCAAAAATTAACTATTAAAATTTTAATATAATAATGATGAGGGAGAAACGGAGGGAAAAGAAAGGGAGACACCCTCCCCTCTCCATGCCCATAGGATAGGGGATCCCATGTACATGCATTTTACACACACATTATGCATCACACAATATTAAAGAGTATTCCCCTTAATACATATAAGCATAAAGAATATTCCAGGCTTATGTGCCCTACTTTTTAATGTCAATAATATGCAGAGCTAAAGTCTGCCACCATTAAGCAAAAATGGACTATTTGATTACACATTTTTAGAACAATTTTAAAAATAAAATAAAAGAAATTTTAAAAAAATGTGTTTTCATGTTACCTGTTTTGGAAAAAAAAAAATTTAAAATTGTTCTGAATAACTAAACCTATAACATCTTTTTATTTTTTTTTATTTTTTTTGTTTTGCAAAGCTAGAAAAAGGATAGAAAATATTATATTTTTATTAATGACAATTATGTAATAAACTAAATAATAACTCAAATATATTTTATCATTTTTTGTTTTAAGAATAAAAACAAAAACCAAATCAAATAAGTCCTATCTTTCTATAATTTAGGTCATTTTGAAATTTACCTTTGATCTGTTGATATTGTATATGATCCTTTATCCACAAACATAAAAAAAAAAAAAAAAAAACTTCTTTCCCTACGCAATCAGGTTAATTAACCTTTTTTTTTTTTTTGGGGATCAACTAGTTGGAATCGTTTCTATAACCCAAAATATTTCTAAATATATTCCTTGCTGATAGAGGCTAGATCGAATAACATCTTAGTAAATTCCAGATTGCAGACTAGCAGAAATTAAAGAGACTTGCTTTTGAAAAAAAAAAAAAAACAAAACATTATTCATGAAAGCGACAAAATTAGCAACTACATTTTGACAGGAATAGCTCTTAGAGGTTGAGCCTTGTGCATGGTAAGGCCATATCTTTGACTCATATCCATGTCCTCAGCCTTTAACCCATCTGGGACCTTCCAGTCAAAGTGATATAGAAGAGAGGCCAACATAAAGGAAAGTATCCTAGAAGCCAAGGGCAACCCGGGACACATCCTCCTTCCAGCACCAAATGGAATAAAGTTAAAATCATTAGCCTTAAAATCAATCTCATTTTCCAAAAACCTTTCAGGAATAAATGAATTAGGGTTTTCCCATATGCTTGGGTCTCTTCCCATAGCCCACACATTTGCTAAAATCTGTGAATTTTTGGGTACTAAGAAGCCACATAACTCTACATCACAAATTGCCTTGTGGGGTATAAGGAAAGGTACTGGTGGGTGCAGGCGTAAAGTCTCTTTGATTACTGCTTGTAGGAAAGGCAACTTTGAGACCATAGACTCTTCAAGTTTCAGAGTACTTTTATCAAGAACTTGTTGGAGTTCTGTTCTTGCTTTTACCATTTTTTTTGGGTTTCGCATTAATTCTGCCATTGCCCATTCTAGGGTGCTTGATGTTGTGTCTACACCCGCCAGAAATAAATCCTGAAATATCAATGAATAACAAGAAGTCAAATTAAAAGGGAACTTTAAATTTAAGGGTATAATGTTTCCTTTCAACTTTTAAAAATCATGTAATATCACTTCTATCATTAATAAAAATTAACTTTGACTTTTAATTGATAAGAAAATTAAAGAAAAAGATTAAAAAAAATTACAAAAAATGATCCAAAAATATAGAGAATAACCAAAAAAAATACAAAAAAGGATTAAGAAAATTTTCTATTTTGCTTTTTTTCTGCAATTTTTGAAATCCTCTTCTATAATTTTTTATTAACTAACAATCAAAATTAATATTTATTAATGGAAGAGAAAATATTGCATCCGGGTAAAATTATCATTTAGCCCTAGAAAAAAAACTCTAGCTATTGGTGGGCCCATCATTGTTCTAGTGTTTGGGAATTTAAGTTTCTTTATTTGGAAATGAAGTGCTCGTCCATGATTAAGAATTATACTCACAATGAATAAATGAAGAATATCATCGCGACTCAACTGCGAAGTACCGTCTTGCATAAGATCGAGAAATGAATCCAACACATCATTGTAATCTTTGGACTCCTTGTTCAAACTTCTAAAACGCAATCTCTCTTCCATAATATCATCAAAACTCTTATATAACTTCCTAAGGTAACCTCTCATCCTTGCACGGACGCCTTGCAGATCCAGAAAGCTCAAAACAGGAAAAAGATCAGAAACATTAGCCCTTCCAGCTTCATCCACGATCCCAATCACCAACTTCATATACTCTTGAGTCTTATCAGAACCATAACAAGCAAAATCCATGGAGAAAAGCATGTTCGATATTGATTTCAGAACTGTAGTAAAGGAAGCCTTAGCGAGATCTATAGCCTCACCTTTGATGGAATATTCATGGACATGATGGATTAAGTCTCCAACCTTGCTTTGGCGTAGAAACTGAGTTAAATCTAGCTTCAGGGTTGAGAAAACTTCCGTAACACAAGCTCGTCTTAGGGTTTGAGAGATTTGCTAGGGGCTCGTTTGATGAATAGGATGTAGATAAGGAAAGAGGCACAGAGAAAAGACGTTAGGATGAGAATTGTCATATTGTCCATAGTTTCTTTAATTTCTCTTTTCCTCCAGAGCCACTAATCTATATAAAGAAGTGATACATTAATATCTCAGTCTCTTTCTGCGTAGGGTCCTCATTCCGCTAGGAAATTTCGTTGTGCTTTCTCTCTTCTCTTAAACATCGAAACACAATAGGAGATACAGCCAAAAATTACATTGAAATAAGTGGGCTCATTTGGAATGATGCGGATGTACAAATTTATGTCACCTGTCCATATTGATTGTGTACCGCCCATATTTAATTCAATTTGATGTTTATGTTTTAAGAATTTTAATTAGATTTGGATACCATAAGTGGCCCGAATCTACTCACTCAATGAATGTATTAATTATAATCATTAAATTTTATCAACACTTGAAAATTATTCTAGTGCAATTTCCCTCCAAAAATTCAACTTATGTTGTCCATTTTAAAAATTTGATATTTAAGACTTTTTGTGTATCATATGACAAAATCTCTTACAACCGTTATCATGTCACATGAAATACTCATTGAATTAGTGGATTTGTGCCACCCATTGAATTCAAATTAAATTCATTTTAATATAATTTTTTCATAAAATAAAATAAATATATATAATTTTTTAGTTACTTTTTTTAAAAAATGTAAATTTGTTTTTCTAAAAAGTACTCCCTCTAGTCCTTATACAAGTTATTTTCTAGAGGAAATTGATGAATTCATGTATAAGTTCACTTTTCATAAAATGTTGAACCATGTAATTATTTTCAAACAATTTTATCCTTTTGTAATTTTCATTTTATGAGTAGGATAAGATGTCACACATATGTAATAATATAAGAGTATTTTTAAAGACAATGATTAATAAGATGTCACACCCCAAAATAAAGGGTGACCGGCACAGGTGTGAACCACTTTCACATTCCCGTAAGCCTTCAAATAAATATTTATTTCATTTTTCAAGAAAGGAAAAATTCAATCAAATCATATGAGAATTTAAATAACTTCTTTAAATTCATTATCATAAGAAAGTGTCTAACATTTTTGTAGAAATTTCGGCAGAACCTCTTCTGTAACTAGGATCTCTCGAAAATTCTACAACAAAATTTTTTACAATAACAGTATAATGCAGGAGCATAGCTCCTTCCAGCCAACTATCAATATACAAACCAAAAATACAGAAACCTATGTGGAGCATCTACTATTTCTTTCAAATCAAAAAGGATATACAGATTATATATTTACATTAAATAAGAATACCAATCAAAAAGTCCACCCACTGTAGCTAATTGCCCTTTTGAGGTTGTTGGTGGGATTAGTGTCAGCTAACAAATCTGAGGCCAAAATAATTTTTCAGTGAATAGCATTCCCATAAAAAAAATTCTTAAAAATTTAATCAATAATCTCTAATAATAGTATCAAATAGTTAAAACAATTCTACCAAAATTTATAAACATGTAAGTCATAACCATTTTTATAAAATAAAAGTAAATTGAAATTAATTTATGTCATCATACTTAAAGAAAGCAATCTACTCTCATGCAACTCAAGGTGATACAAATTACTAGTCAAAATCCAGAAAATTTCAAAAAAAACATATTAATCAACATTTAAAATTGAGAACTCAACAAAACAGGTTACAAACGTGGACACTCAGTCCACGAGGGTAAATAACCAAACACGGCTTATGCCACAAAACAAACGTGGACACACCAGTCCACAGGGGTAAGTAACCGAACGCAGCCGTAGCTACGAAACAAACGTGGACACACAGTCCACAAGGGTAAGTGACCAAACATGGCTTAGGCCACAGATTTAAACACGGGTACAAAGCCCATGAATACCAAACGTGAGAATAAGACTCACGAAACAAACTAGTTAGTATTTAACCACAGTGCGCTACGGGCTAATGGAACTGTCGTTAGCAGCAGTGTTCTATTTAGAGTCCTCTCAAAAATCGTGTTTCAAACATGCGAGAAAATAATTACTTCTGGAATATAATCAACGTTTCCAATGCTAAACTCGCATGTATCACTTTAAGTTTTAATTTAAGACCTGTTGAAAATGGTCTTTCATAAAATAATATACGAGCTCGCATTATCTAAATAATCAAGAATTTTAAGAGTTTAATAAGTCAAATAATTCCATAAATCTTTAAAACATATCCCCTGAGGAAATAAATGCATATATCCTCTTTTAAACATCTCACATCAATATCACAAAGTTTCAAAACGAATGTAATTCACAAGAATAAAATATCTCAATGAAAATTTGTTAAAAATAAAAATACCAATAAAAAAATTAAATTAAAGGGAATGCTATTCACTTACTCGTCAGAACTTTAAATTCTTAAGGATATCCTTTCTTTTAATTCTAATCAGGGTCTTGTTCTTCCTCACCCCCTATCAAGATAAAAATCATTTCATAGATTCCCAATCTTTAGAAACAATTCCAAATTAACCATCCTCATCTAAAATTTAAAGCCAAATTTATGATTTAAAATTGATCCAAGTATTATCACTAATTCAATCGCTTTCCTTAGTTATACAACTGCAATATCCATTTAATTTAAAATACTCCTTTCTATGTATGCACATGTAATCACAAGGAAGGATGAATATCTAAAATTTCAACCCCCAACCCACATTTATCATGTATTGTTACTAAGTTCAGATGGGTTTCTTGCTCAAATTTTGTCTTCTCCTCTCTACGTATCATTACAAGTGACAGCAAAAAAATTTGAAGCTTCCATAACTACACATAAACGAGAAGTAATAGCAAGGCACACACTAACTTCTGTGTTTTCACGTACACACACATCACTTATATTCTTACGTACAGCAACAGAAGCTAACGTGCACAACCTAACAAAACTAATGACACAAAAATTAAACTCCTCACCTCAACTTGACTGACCCAGGCAGCGACGAATAGCAAAGGAGGGAGAAGAAGGTCCTTTAATACTGAACAGAGGAGAAAACTAACACTGCCACACGTTATGGAAGGAAAAAAAATGAAACTTGCAGTAAAATAGGGGATGCACGCCAATCTCCACTCAGCAGAAGGAAGAAAACTGAATCAGCTGAGACAACCCAGCCCTTGACAGCACATCAACTTCTCTGATGACTTAGCTTCTCACTCTGATCATAAACCGAACTTGAGCGACGCAACCAGAATAGTAGATGAAAAGAAAAAAAACAGAGACAGGAAATATGACAGTGAACCTCTTGGATGTTTCAGAGTTGCAACGTCCTCCACTCTCATAGGCGGCCACCAAAAACGAGAAAGGGAATCGAGGCACAGAAAAATGAAGAGAAGAAGTGCACCAACCTTCCAGACTTCTCTACCACTTTCTCTGTAAAACTGACTTAGATAAGAGAGAGAAGAGAGGAAATATATCTAAGAGGGCAAGGGTGTTCTGGTAATTTTAGAAGAGCTAAGCAAAATAAAATCCCATTTCTTACATCGGGGATTCGAACTTGGGACTTTCAATTGCTCTAGCATGCATACTTCCACACTACCAACATTTCTCCTTATTAAACATGTTCCTAAATTAATATAGTTACTATTAAACACTAGCTTTTAAATATATATACTTATTATTATTATTATTATGGGCCATTACATAAGAGTACATTGAAAATTCATTTTTCAAATAATGTTAATGATTTAATTAACTTCCTCAATTCTCACCTAGTCAAAAATAACTTATATACGAGACCATTTGATAAAGAAAAATGGCAATGAAATCTCTTTGAATTATATAAATGACATTTTAATCTCTTAAAATGTCATAATTTTCTTAAAGTCCTTAGGGACTTTTTTGTCATTGAGGAATTAATGTAAATGATCAAATTTTATTTAATTCAAACTTACAAATTGTCATTAAATTCTTGCAATTTTAATGAAAAAAGTTGTGAATCTTAGAACAAAACTTATGAATAGAAATTGATATTTGTAACATTTGAGGAATATCAAGATTTTAAATGTAAACTTATGAATTGTTGAATTTTTTTGATTTTAAGAAGAAAAATTATGAATTTTAGAACAAAACTTATTAATGGAATTTGATATTTGAATTAAGGGTAATTTGATCATTTATATTAATTTTTAATGATAGAAAGTCTCTAAGAACTTTAGAAAAATTATGATATTTCGAGAGACCAAAATATCATTTATATAATTCAAAAGAATTTTATTATTATTTTTTCTTTAATAAATTTGATATTCATAAGTCAGATCCCATCACAATAATGATTCATTTGATGTCTTCAACTTGGCCATGATATGGATAATACTATGAGTTTCAATTAAAAAAATGAGGGATAATACTACGAGTTTGACCGTTGTACGTTCAGGAATCCAACGTGTACCTCACTGTGCTCTTGATTTCATGCCGTATTTGTTTGTTGACACCATAATAATATGCAATAATAACATTTAGAATTATTTAAATTAATATATGTATATATATGTGCGCGCGCGTGCTCTCTTGTGCAAATTTATCGACACAAAACTAAATAAATATTTACAAATATTTCAGTGATTAAAAAAAATCAAACAAGCAGTATTTATATTCATCAAAATGTAGCCTCCAGACCAACCATTGTCACTCCATGAATAGTTTTACAATTAATTTATAGGATTTTTTGGATTTAAGGGTTTTGGATGAAACTCTAAGTTTAAAGATGGGGATTTTGAATTTCTTGACTGATTGATGAGTTTGGACTGGTCGAAAGACTTGATTTAGCCATAAGATTCTTGTTGGAACTTGAAATTATGGTTGAGATAGATGATATGTGGAGTTTTAAATTTTTGGGTATTCAAATCTGAATTTTTGGAAAAATTGTGACTTGAATGATCCAATTGTGTTTTGGCTTCATTATGATTCAGTTCAAAAGTTTGATTGGTAAATATGTTATGTCTAAAGTTTCATTGGATTTGAAATTGATTTGGTTTTAGTTTTGAACTCGATATTTGTTATTGCGCAAATTGGAAATAACATTGAAAAATTGATAATTGGTT